TTGTGTACTTGTAATCTTGTTTGAATAGAAAGTAAAGAATAACCGTTAATAACCAACCCTTGTTGTTCTTCGTGTTTTTTATTCTTTTCTATCATTGTGAGTTTCTTGCCTTGAAGAACCATGTCATACTTTGTTTCAAATGTATCGTGTTTCACAATAAATTGGTGCAGTAAGAGTGAAGAAGATGCCTTCAAAATATATGAGATTGAAAAGTTCACCGGAGTGAACGATTTCGTTCTGTGGCGCTTGAAGATGAAAGTCCTATTGATTCAGCAGGTTTGTTTGAAAGTGTTGAAGAGAGTGAAAACCATGGATGTTGCGTTAATAGAAAAATAAAATACGACCATGATAGAGAAAGCCCATAACACAATCTTGTTGAGCCTTGGTGATAAGGTTCTTCGACAGGTATCAAAAGAGACGACGACATCAGGGTTATGGATGAAACTTGAAAGTTTATACATGACCAAATCGCTGGTAAATCGACTCTATTTGAAGCAAGCTTTGTATTCATTTAAGATGATTGAAGATAAAGTGTTGGCTGAGCAGTTAGATATGTTTAACAAGCTGATTCTTGATCTTAAAAATATTGATGTGAAGATCGATGATGAAGATCAAGTGGTGTTGTTGTTCTACGCTTTGCCCAGAACACATGCTCACTTCAAAAAAACTCTCTTATATGAAAGGGAGTCTCTGACCTTTGAAAAAGTTTAATCAACCTTGTATTCTAAGGACTTGAACGAACGAAAGAAGCATAAACCTTTGATGGTTGGTGAAGGTTTGGTCGTTAAGGTAAAATTCTTACGAAAGAATGGTAAATTCGTCAAGAAGAAAGGTAAAAGTCATCAGAAGTCTTACAATGGCGAATCATCTGGTATTCGATGTTATCATTGTAAGGAGGGTCACACAAGAAAGGTATACCCTGAATGCTTGAAAGATCATGGAGGTAAGGATAATGGCAATGCATCTATTGTTCAAGATGATTTTGACTTATCTGATGTTCTTGTGGTTTCGAGCAACAACCCATCAAAAGAATGGATTATGGATTTTGGGTGCACTTGATACATGACTCCAAACAAAGACTTACTCGGAGAGCTATGTGATTAAGATGGTAGATCTGTATTGTTGGGAAACAACAGAACTTGCAAGATTGCAGGTGTTGGATTTGTGAGATTCAAGCTCTATGATGAGTCAATAAAGTTATTGAATGAAGTCAGGTATGTACTTGATTTGAAGAGAAATCTGATTTCTCTTGGTGAATCCGACAAGAAATGATATAGAGAAAAGTATCCTAAGAGTAATGAAGAAGTCGAAGAAAGTCTTAAGAGGCATGAAGAAGCAAGGCTTGTATATCCTTGAGGCTGAAGTTGTAAGTGATTCGATAAATATTGCATCCATAAAATCTTTGTCGAAGACAGAAATTTGACACATGAGATTAGTCATGTTAGTGAAAGGGGTATGGTCGAATTAGGGAAACAAAATTTTCTTGGTGGAGACAAAGTTGAAAAGCTGAAATTTTATGAACCCTGTGTACTTGGAAAATCTTGTAGAATAAAGTTCAACAAAGGAAAACAAAGAACACATGGTTCCCTTTATTACATCCATGCTGGTCTTTGGGGGCTTGCAAGATATCCATCACATTCAGGAGCAAGGTATTTTCTATCCATAATAGATGATTATTCCAGAAAGTTGTGGATATTCATTCAGAAGACTAAAGATGAAACATTTGAGAATTTCAAAAGTTAGAAGACTCTGGTCGAAAATCAATCTGACAGAAAGGTCAAGAGGTTGAGAACCGACAATGGTCTTGAATTTTGCAATGAGGCTTTCGACAGTTTTTGTGCTACTTCTGGTATTGCAAGGCACATAACTACTGCAGGTACTCCATAACAAAATGGTTTGGCTGAAAGGTTTAATTGAACTATTTTGGAGAGAGTTAGATGCATGTTGACTAGAGTTGGGTTTAAGAAGGTGTTTTGGACTGAGGTTGTTTTGACAGCAACACATGTGATAAACAAATGTCCTTCGAATGCGTTAGATATGAAGACACTTGAAGAAATTTGGTCGGGACATCCACTAGATATCGACAAACTGGGAGTATTTGGCTGCGTAGCCTATGCTCACATTAGGCAAGACAAGGTCGAACCTAGAGCTCTGAAATGCATGTTCATGATATTATCCTGAAGGAGTCAAATCTTATAGACTATGGTACCTAGATCCAGATCACAAGAGGATTATCACCAGTCGAGATGTAATTTTCAATGAAGCTGAAATGACTATAAAGAAAACTGGTGATATTGATCGAAGTGCAAAAATATCCGACGAAGAGTTGAAACAGAGAGAGATTCTTGTTGAGGTGGAGCTTGTTGATGTTGAATTGCATATCCCATATAAAGTCGAAGAAGAATCAAAGATGCTAAGGAAGTTAAAGAAATTGTCGATGACTCCCTATTGGTAAGAGATGGAACTAAAAGAGTCATCAAACCACCTCCGAGACTTGGGATGCAGATCTTATAGTTTTATGCCTTAATCTCGAAAGTGGGGTTCTAGACGAAGAACCTAGAAACCATAAGAAAGTTATGAAGAGTCAAAATAAGACTGAATGACTGAAGACCATGGAAAATGAGATAAATCTCTTCATGATAACAACACTCAGAAACTAATCAAAAATCCTGCTAGATTCAGTTTAGTCAACCGTAAATGGATTTCCAAAATTAAGGAAGGAATCGAAGGAGTGGCGTCGAAAAGATACAAGGAAATGTTGGTTGCAAGGGGTTTTATTCAAAAAGAAGGTGTCGACTTCAATGATGTGTTTTCTCCTATTGTGAAGCACATGTCCATTCAAATGTTGATTGCCATGGTGGCACGGTTTGACCTTGAACTGGAAGAAATGGATGTGAAGACTGCGTTCTTGTATGGTGATCTAGATCAAACAATCTTGATGAGGCAACTTGAAAGGTATATCGAAAAGGGAAAGGAAGATTATGTGTGCAACTTGAATATATATTTATATGGGCTGAAATAATCTCCTCGATATTGGAATAGGAGATTCGACAGATTCGTGACACGCATAAATTTTATTAGAAGTCAGTTCGACCATTGTGTTTACTTTTGATTTCGATATGATAATTCACTTGTTACTTTATTACTTTATGTTGATGATATTCTCATAGCAAGCAACAATGTCGAAGATGTAATGAGGGTGAAGGCTGAACTCAATAAGGAATTCAAAATGAAGGATCTGGGAGCTGCATTCAGGATTCTTGAGATTGACATTCAAAGAGATAGAAAGCAGTTGAAATTATGCTTATCTCAAAAGGCATACCTACAGAAGATTCTTGACAAGTTTGGTATGTCAAATTCAAAGCCTGTTGTGACTCCAACAAACCCTCAATTCAAGTTGAGTATCGATCAGTGTCTCAGTAATGAGATCGAAAAAGCTTATATGAATAACATCACATATGCTAATATAGTAGGTTCTTTGATGTATGCAATGGTTTGTACTAGACCCGACATAGCATATGTAGTAAGTCTTATAAGCAGGTGCATGGAGAACCCTGGAAAGGCTCATTGACAAGTATTGAAGTGGATTCTAAGGTATATAAATTGGTCTTTGAACAGAGTCTTAACTTATGGTAGAGCCTTGGGTGAAGATAATAAAGAAATAATCGAAGGGTATATCAACTCTGGTTATGCAGGTTGTATGAATTCCAGAAAATCTATTTCTGGATATGTTTTCACTATGTTTGACACAACAATCAGTTGGAAAGTGACACTTCAGAAGATTGTTTCTTTATCAACCACTGAAACAGAATATATTTTCCTCACTGAAACTATGAAAGAAGTATTGTGACTTGAAGGTTTTTCTAAGGAACTGAAACTTCAAGGTCGAGTTATCATTGTTAAATATGATAGTCAAAGTGCAATACACCCGTCGAAGAACTCAGCCTATCATGAGTGAACCAAGCACATCGATGTTAGACTGAATTTCGTCAGAGGGGTAATCGAACGTGGAGAAGTTCAAGTGATGAAGGTTTCGACAGATCACAATGTTACTGATATGATCACCAAGACATTGCCAAGTTAAAATTTTTTCCACTGTATGCAGTTGATAAAGCTGCGTGAAGAAAGCTAGTTTGTTCTTTGATATTAGAGTTTGTTCCAAGGTGGAGATTTGTGAGATATTGGATCGAACTCTATTGGATCAAAGAGTGGCTTCTAGTTCGACAAGATTTATACATGTCGTCGAAGTATGTTCACATGCTGGTGTCGAAGACCCACATACTGTAGTCGAAGTGTGTTCTAGTATGTGGGTGTCGAAATATTAAGGTTGTTAGTATTTCGAATTGGACATGTTTGTTATGTCCAATTGTTTAAGTTAGATTGTACCATAAGTTAGCTTGTAATGGGCATTTGTGAAAATGCTCATTAGTTTAGTATGTTAGATTTATTATAAATAACATACTAATCTCTCATCATTCATTGCATACTGCAAATCCTAATTTAGAATGAGAGGGTTATTTGTTATTTTTGTGTACTTGTAATCTTGTTTGAAGAGAAAATAAAAAATAGCAGTTAATAACCAATCTTTGTTGTTCTTCGTGTTTTTAATTCTTTTCTATTCATGTGAATTTCTTTCCTTGAAGAATTCTATTATATTTTATTTCAAAGATATCGTGTTTCACAACAAATATTGCATCTCGTACTGGTACCGATACCTGGAAACCGTTCCCGTAACCTTAGCCTTACCTATGCATATAATAGTTTGTGTGATACAAGAATATTCTTTTGACAGAATATTCTTTGACATATTCAGTATATTAATGAATTAATTAAGGACAAGTCAACTCTTATCCCAACCAACCATTACTATGTTCCCTCCACGTTCTCTAGTCAAACATGCATTCATAACATGGAAAAGGCATGCATATCAATATACATTCACAAAAAATTGAAACTTTAGTCACAAGCCATTTTGAATTTCTCTCATTCTTATTGACTAAATGAAACTAAAATTTTGCTTACTATTGTTTCTGTTTGTAGAGTGTGTTTTTTTCAAAGTGCAATGCAAATGTGTGAAGGGGTGTGATATAGCTTTAGCTTCCTACTATGTCAAACCTGCATTTATATTCCAAAATATAACAAACTTTATGCAATCAAAGATTGTGTCAGTGTCCCATTCTTCTGAAATTATAATCAGATACAATAAAGATATAGTATCCAATCATGGTGATCTTTTTTCCCTATTTAGAGTCAACATTCCATTTCCATGTGATTGTATTGGAGGTGAATTTTTGGGACATGTGTTTGAATACACAGCAAATAAAGGAGATACTTTTGATTTGATTGCAAATTATTATTATGTAAGTTTGACTTCGGTTGAACTTTTACAAAAGTTCAACAGCTATGATCCAAATAATATACCTATTAAGGAAAAGGTTAATGTCACTGTCAACTGTTCTTGTGGGAACAGCCAGGTTTCAAAAGATTATGGCTTGTTTGTTACTTATCCACTAAGGTCTTCGGATACTCTTGAGAAGATTGCAAGGCAATCTAATCTTGATGAAGGGTTGTTACAAAGTTACAATTCTGGTGTCAATTTCAGCAAAGGGAGTGGGATAGTGTTTATTCCAGGAAGAGGTTAGTATTTTTCTACTTTTCTTCCATCACCTTTCTGCTGACACATGTTGTCGCTTGGATAAGTATATTGAAAAGATGAATTTGGTTAAAGTATTATTTAGTTTTGACTTTGCAGATCAAAATGGAGATTATGTTTCCTTGTATCCTAGGTTGGTAACTTTGAATGTCTTACTGTCCATGTGCGTTATAGAAGTAAATTTGCTTCATATTTGTTTCTAACTTTCATTTTTTTACCTCTTGCAGAATAGGTCTGGCCTTCTAAATTGCTATTATATGATTGTTTTTTAGGTTAATACTTGATCACAAAAACTAAGGTCAATGCTTGTTGTGAAGTTAAATTTGGTTCCATATAAGCAGGTCTTACTAAGGGTGCAGCCGTTGGTATATCTATAGCAGGAGTGTTTTGGCTTCTGTTATTAGTTAGTTGTATGTATGTCAAATACTTCAAAAAAAAGGAAGAAGAGAAAGTTATACAACTAGAAACTTCTATGGCTCTTTCAACTCAAAATGGTAATGGTATATCGTTTCCTATTCATATTCTTTTTAAGTTCTTATTAACTACTTATTTGAACTTATCTTATGATATGAACACCTGTATCACAGTATCAGCATTCAAAAGAACTTATGAAAATAATTTATAACATGATGGTGAATTGTTTATTTATGTCAATAAACTTTCTATGGTAGCTTATGAAATCAACTTAACTATATTCCCTCTTCGATGACCTATACTTGCTGATTGTAGTTTCTATTCCTTGTGAAGTCTCAGGATATGAAACTTCGGGATCCAGCGGGCATACTACTAGCCTTACAGGAGTTATGATGGAAAAGTCAACAGAGTTTTCATATGAAGAACTAGCAAAGGCTACAAATAACTTCAACTTGGATAGTAAAATTGGTCAAGGTGGATTTGGAACTGTTTATTATGCACAACTTAGAGGCAAGGTTTGTAATCATAGTATTATTGGATTTATTTTACATTGATCATTTGAAAGAAAACTAGTTTTGTTCTTGTTTGTAACCTATTTTAGCTTATATGTTCTCTTACTTAGTAAGTTGTTTCAATTATATAGAAAACTGCAATAAAAAAGATGAAGATCCAAGCAACAAAAGAATTTCTTGCTGAACTCAAAGTCTTAACAAGTGTTCATCACTGGAACCTGGTAATCTATGTCATTGAAAATATGTTGTCTTATTTGTGTGTGTGTGTGTGTTTGAACATATAGACCCACATGAGTAACTTTGTAATCTATATCTATCTACTGTATGGTCATAAAGGTACACTTAATTGGATATTGTGTTGAGGGATTTCTATTTCTTGTATATGAGTACATAGAGAATGGAAACTTAAGCCAACATCTACATAATCCAGGTGATAACATCAAGTGTATTTTCAATGATGTTTCATTAATGTAATTTGAGCATAAATTGATAAAGTGAAACTATTTTCAGATAGAGAACCGATGACCTGGGCTACGAGGATGCAAATTGCTCTGGATGTGGCGAGAGGCCTCGAGTATATTCATGATCACTCAGTTCCTGTATATATCCATCGCGACATAAAATCGGACAATATTTTATTAAATGAAAACTTTACTGGAAAGGTATAGTACTTTTGGAAAAGTTTCTTAGTTCTTACTATTTTCCTTGTGGGAGATCATATAGATAATATTCCTATTACAGATTGCAGATTTTGGATTAACCAAATTTACTGATATTGCAAGTTCAACAGATAACACTATTCATGTGGCAGGCACATTTGGTTACATGCCGCCGGAGTACGACTTATTCGGCTTTTCTTTTTATGTGATTTTGTGATAGAATTTGAAGTTTTGAAATCAGAGTTAGTGCAGAGTTTAATTTTACCATTCACTTTTGTGCAGAAATGCAAACGGGCGTATTTCTCGCAAAATAGATGTATATGCTTTTGGAGTTGTTCTTTATCAATTAATTTCTGCCAAAGAAGCTGTGATTAAGATAGATACACCTAGTACCGAGTTCAAAAGTCTCGAGATTAAGACTAATGAATCTATTATTAATGAATACAAGAGTGTTAGAAAGATAGAGAGAGTAGAGAAAGTTTGTTTCCATCTGTAACTACTTTCCGTTATTCATAAAAGCTTTCACACTGATTACAAAGAGGTGACACCTGTTTATATAGGAACAGGGCACCGGTTACAGTAGGTAACCAAGAGGTGGAAACTGCCAGGTGGCAGTTTTCTACTATACAGCAATATCTTCTCTAATACCCCCCCCACAAACTCAGGAGGAGGCAACTACTCTGAGTTTGTGCCTAAGAGTCAAAAAAGCAGTGGAAGCTAATGGTTTAGTGAGCACATCAGCCCACTGATCCGTGCCTGGGATGTGCACAACTTGTAATTGTTTGCTAAGCACCTTTTCTCTGACAAAGAAGAGGTCAATCTCCATGTGCTTGGTCTTAGTATGCATAATAGGATTATGTGCCAGAAGAACTGCAGACTGGTTATCACAGAAAATCTGGGGAGTCTTGCAAGAGATGAATAGTTCCTGAAGAAGGGTTTGAATCCACAGCAAATCAGCTGCAGCATGAGCCATGCTTCTGAATTCAGATTCAGTGCTGGACCTAGCTACTACATGTTGCTTTTTGGACCACCAGGAGACCAAGTTAGAGCCAAAAAATATTGCAGCACCAGAGGTACTTCTTCTATCATCTGGGTCAGAGGCCCAGTCAGCATCACAGAACAGCTTAATAGTAGGTGAAGTAGAGGGTGTAAGAGCAGTCAGATGCAGGCCATGGGAGATGGTACCTTTGAGGTACCTCAAAATTCTTTTGACAGCCACCCAATGAGCTTCAAGAGGCTGTGCCATAAATTGACACACCTTGTTCACAGCATAGGCTATATCTGGCCTAGTGAGGGTGGCATATTGCAAAGCACCAACCACTGACCTGTACATAAAAGGATCAGTCAGTGGAGGTGAGCCCACCTTTGTAAGCTTGCAGGTAGATTGCATAGGGGTAGCTACAGGTGTACACTCCAGCATATTAGTCCTATGCAGTAAGTCTTTGATGTATTTGGACTGTGTGAGAAGCAAAGATTGAGAAGCAGTCTTGGTGACTTGAATACCAAGAAAGTAGTCCAGATCACCCAAATGCTTGAGAGAAAAGGAAACATTAAGCTTGGTGATGATAGACTGCAGTAAAGAGGAAGAGCTGCCAGTAATAATAATGTCATCTACATAGACAAGTAGATAGACAGTATGGCCTCCTTCAAAATAAGTGAAGAGTGAAGGATCACACTTACTAGGATGAAACTTAAGCTGCACAAGAGCTGTTTGAAGTCTCTCAAACCATTGCCTAGGGGCTTGTTTGAGGCCATAGATTGCTTTATTCAATCTGCACACCAATGAAGAGTCAGAGTGCTCAAAACCTTGAGGCTGAACCATATAAACTTCTTCATCAAGTAATCCATTGAGGAAAGCATTGTTGACATCCAGCTGTTGTATGGACCAGTTGTAGGTAAGAGCAATAGACAGAATAATCCTGATTGTAATGGGTTTAACAACTGGAGAAAATGTCTCATTAAAATCAAACCCTTCCCTTTGATGAAAACCTTTTGCAACAAGTCTTGCTTTATACTTATTAATGGAGCCATCAGGGTTTTCCTTGACACGAAATACCCACTTGCTGCCAATAGCTTGCCTATGAGGTGGCAGAGGTACAAGAGTCCAAGTGTTGTTGGAAATTAGGGCATTATACTCTGCTTGCATAGCGGCCAGCCACTGAGCACTAGCAAGAGCCTGTTTTACTGACTTAGGTTCAGCAACTGTCAATAAAACCCTAGGTTCCAGTCTAGGTTGTCTGAAGCCAGCTTTGGCTCTTGTGGTCATGGAATGATGATTAATGGGAACAGCTGATACAGGTACTGCTTTGGGAGGAATGGTGACAGAATCTGGTGCTAAATTCTCATTTGTTTGACTGACAGACTGAGAAGAGGACTCATCAGTGGCAGTAGAGGTGGTGTGCTGAAGAGATTCAGAGGGAGCAGGGCTACCAGAAGATCCCACAGGAGAGGAATGAGTACCTGCAGCAGAATGAGAAGACACAGAAGATGTAGCAGAAGGAGGACTAGACTGACTATTAAAGGGCATTGTGGGAGCAGATGAAGGACCAACAGAAGGAGAAAGAATAGATGATGGAGTGGTGAAAATAGGTAAAGGAGAGAGAGAGACATGAGAAGAAGTATTAGGAGGCAGAATAGGTTTAGTGGTGGAGAATAAATCAAGGTAAGGAAACCTTGACTCATTAAACAAAACATCCTTAGAAATGTAGACTTTACCACATGGAGAGAGGCATCTATAGCCTTTGTGAGATGTTGAGTAGCCTAGAAACAGACATTCATGAGACCTGAAATTAAACTTATGAGTAGAATAGGGTCTTAGAAGAGGAAAACAAGCACTACCAAACACCTTGAGAAAGGAATAGTCAGGTTTGATCCCAAAGAGTAAGGAATAGGGCACCTGAGAACCAACAGAAGCTGAAGGGAGTCTATTGATCAAATAGACAGCAGTGGAGAAGGCAAAGTCCCAATAGGGCAGAGGCATAGATGCCTGACTTAGCAAGGTAAGTCCTGTATCCACTATATGTCTATGCTTTCTTTCAATCACACCATTTTGGTGATGAGTGTGAGGGCAGGCAACTCTGTGGACAATGCCCAGTTCTGAAAGAAGCTTATTAAATGGTCTGAATTCACCCCCCCAGTCAGATTGAAAAGCCTTAATGGAGCAGCCAAGTTGTAATTCAACCAGAACCTTAAATTGTTTGAAAATAGACAGTGCCTCAGCTTTAGATTTCAGAAAATAAATCCAAGTGAATTTGGAAAAGGCATCCACAAATGACATGTAGTACTTGAAGCCTAATGTAGACACATTAGGAGAAGGTCCCCATAAGTCTCCATACACTAATTCTAAAGGTCTGGTGTAAGTAGTGTGTGATGGTGATGATGGAAGTCTATGAGACTTACCCATACAACAAGCAGTACAGAAAAAATCCAACTCTTTATTACTGAATGAAACATTACAACTGTTGAGTACAAGTTTAAGTGTCTGAATGTTAGGATGCCCTAACCTTAAGTGCCACTTATTTGAAGTACTAAATCTATCAACATGAGATGAAACTACAGCAGAATTAATACTAGGAGCTGAAGCCTGAGAGCTGGAACTGGTGGAAACCACAGAGCTGGACTTAGACAAGTCAATAGGAGGGAACACATACAAGCCATCAGGACCAACTGAACCCTCTAGGAGAACTTCATGAGATGCCTGGGATTTAACAAGACATTTGTCAGAGGTAAACAGAAAATAAACAGCATTATCTAGGCAAAATTGACTGACACTAATTAAATTCTTAGTAATAGAGGGAATAAGCATGAGCTTATGGAGCATAAGAGGTGTATGAGACTGTGAAGGTGACTGGAATTGACTAGTGCCAGAGGAAGTGATAGTCAAACCTTGCCCGTTTCCAATCAGGATTTGATCATGACCTTCAATAGGAACCAGTTGTTGAAGATTCTTAGGGTCATTTGTTACATGATATGAAGCACCAGAATCAGGATACCAGGCACTGTTAGCAGAGGCTGTAGATGCAGCTTGAGCAACATAAGCACTAGGTGCTGCACCAGCAGGAGCAGCTCTATAGACAGCTTGAGGCCTGGTCCAAACATGTGAAGCCTGCACAGCCATAGGAGTAGGAGAGGTAGTCCAGGCTTGATTGTTGTAGGCAGTACCATAGGTAGGCTGAAACTGCTGGTTGAATCGATGCCAGCAATTGAGAGCTGTGTGGCCAGGTTTGGAGCAAACTTGGCACTGAATAGTAGAGGAGAATCTCCCACCTCTACCCCTGCCTGAACGTCCACCTCTGAAGGAACGACCACCACGAAAGTGTGAAGCATCAGAATCAGAGGACTGGACTTGTGTAGGAGACTGAGATTCCGTAGTGGCAACTACACTCTCATCAGGAGTGGATTGAGCGGGAGTAGAGTGCGTAAGATTGAGAGAAACAAGATCAGGTGTTGAAACCTTTTTGAACTTGTTTAGGCGAAGTTCGTGAGCAAGGAGAAGAATCTCCACTTCATCAAGATCCATTACTCCAAACTTACTTTCAATGACAGAAATAACAGGTGCAAAATCTGATGGAAGTCCTTCAAGAATCACATCAATGTGATGTGACGCAGGCACCGGATCTCCAATAGATGCAAGAGCATCAACAGTATTGCGAATCTTGAGCAGAAATTCTTGAACCGTGGAATTCTCCAAGGAAATCGTTCGTAACTCAACACGAAGTTGACGAGCGCGTGCTCGCGTCTGCTTCTGAAAGTAGTTAAAGAGACGATCCCAAAGCTCATGAGCATGAGAACAGCCAAGGACACGAGAGAGGATTTCACTGGATAGCGTGGATTGCAACCAAGAGAGCAACATTTGATCCTTCTGCAACCATCGCGAATACTCTGGATTGATAGATCCAGACGCACGAGCAGCATCATCAAGAAACTGAAGCGGAATTCGTGAACAAACGACGAACTCAGTGAGTCCGTGAGCGTTGATATACGGTTCGATTTGTTGTCGCCAGAGGTGAAAATTCTTTTCATCAAGTTTCTGTGCGATCTTGAGCGAGAAGTGTAGACGATTCGAATCGTCTTGCGTGTGAAGCTGCGACATTGCCGTCGCACCGGACGGAGTGCGTTCCGGAGTTCGTTCCGGCGAGTTTGGTGACGCCATCGGAGCAAGGAAGAAGATGGATCGAAGGCTTAATCTGATACCATGTTAGAAAGATAGAGAGAGTAGAGAAAGTTTGTTTCCATCTGTAACTACTTTCCGTTATTCATAAAAGCTTTCACACTGATTAACAAAGAGGTGACACCTGTTTATATAGGAACAGGGCACCGGTTACAGTAGGTAACCAAGAGGTGGAAACTGCCAGGTGGCAATTTTCTACTATACAGCAATATCTTCTCTAATAAAGAGCCTTGTAGCTTTGGTAATTGATTTTTATTTCTCAATTTTTAACCTTAATTTATTTATATAAATCTAATTTATGATGATATGTATGTCAGTTTGATGAAGCTTTTGATCAAGAGGGAGATTCTAAAGAAGGTCTAAGAAAGCTGGTGGATCCAAGGCTAGGAGATAACTATTCAATTGATTCCATTAACAAGGTATTTATATGAATCATTAACCTTTTTTTGTTTCTAATTTCATAATCATACAAGCTTTACCTGTTTTTTCACTGGCAGATGGCACAGCTTGCCAAGGATTGCACAAATCGAGATCCGAAAGGACGCCCAAGAATGAGAGATGTTGTGGTTTCTCTAATGAAACTAAACTCTACTATTGATGATGGAAGTATGACAAGTAGTGAAGCATTGAGTCTCATTATAGAACATGATGATCAAAATTGAAGAGTCTCATTATAGAGCATGATGATGAAAAGTGAAGTTGCATTGTGATACTTGATACTATTCTACTCTGTGTACTGATTGTAAAGTTTATTATAAAAGTTAACAACAGAAATGAAAAAGAAAAAAAAAATACAAAATGTGGATTATAGTACATCGAAATTTGGATACATAATTTGTTTTAACTTACAATGAAAGTGTGGAACCGAATAGCATGACTGGTCTAGAGCAATGCTAGCTAGCAGCAAAGGTTATATAAGAGAAGAATCTGGAAATCATTTTACTTTCTCTAGTTTTTGTTATGAGTAATGCATAATACTTGTTCTCAAACACATTTTTTGATAACATGAAATCAACATTTTCTACAAAGAATCATAATTTGGTGCATATTGAATAACAAGATCAACAATGTAACACATCCACGACTGCTCGGCGTATACCCGTGGCCAGACATAACATACAAACGTTTCATCTTTCTTTTAAGTTCAATATGATGATTACCAAAATGCAATCCTTCACAGCAGAGACTGCATCAGAATTAGCCTTTTTGATGAACAGCAATCTGGTGTATGTCCATCTCCTTCAACATTACTGAACGTCCACAAGAATCACAAGGTGCAGTCCTTGACCCACAAACACTCTCGTGCTCAGACAATCCTCTTAATCTGTCACGGACATCCATGGCAGAACTTCCAGCTTGAACCATATCACCACAAAACCGGCATGAAATCAGTCGTAAGGGGCAAACTGATGCTTGATGTTCCACCTACAAAAATTAAAATAAAAAGTTGAAATTTCTTGGTCGGATAGTCAGATTTCTAATCGTGTGTATCAAATCCAAATTGCAGAAGACATTTTTATGAATCGAATAATAATTACCAATAAAAATACGACAAGGGTGTGAGAGAGGCATCTTACCATTTGCTCTTTCTCAAGTATTATTCCACAAGGGCATTTAAGTGGCTCATGAAAAACTTTCATGTGTTTTTCCAATTCTGCCTGCTGGAAAGCTTGACCACACCTGTTACAATGAATGTGATTTTTGGACTCCTCGATTCTAAGAACAACTCCACACCCTTCATGCTGGCAAGTAACATTGTGCCTGGTACAGTAAGCTTCATGAAGTGCAATGGTCCTTGAGGGTATGTAATGCCTGCAATTCCTGCATTGTTCAGTATCCAATTCCATGGATGACATAGAAGATGATGCTTGCTGACCCAATTTTTGGTTTAAATTATCTTGAATCGTGACTGATAGCTTGTACTCAGTTGATCCTTTAAAGCCGTATACACCAATGCTGTAAGTCCCCGCAGCCAAATTTTTATCTTTAGAGCTGAGAATCAAAGTCTTTGATCCAATATCATGGGAAGACCACTCATGTTGGTGTCGTGTAGGAAATATGAGAGGATGTCTAGAAATGAAAAGATCAGTGTCTCCCTCATTTGTCTCTGATTCTAATTTTACCTCAATACTAGAACTCCCACTAGAAATTTTCTCCCATGTGTCATTGTCTATTGAAAACTTGTAATACACAAACTTTCCTTCTTCTACTGTTCCGGTTTGTGACGTCCGAAATACAACTGGAATCAAAACATGTTGATGAGTCTGTTCTGAGAATTCAATTGGATCAACTATGTCAACTTCAATATCTGTTTCTAAAACAGATACACTTGAAGAAGGTTTTAACTCAAGCACCTTCAATTTGTATTCAAGTTCTCCATAGTTTACAATGAAAATGTCACCTTGAGAAAGAGTAGCATGCTGCCGAAGACTTGTTTCGAGGATAGCTTTATGGTTTGGTAAGTCAGAAAATCCTACTCTTTCAGGTTGAAGTTTCGCATAAGTCCCTTTTGGAAGCCAAACATAGCGGACTTCAACCAATGGAGATTCCATAATAGAACCTTCACAAAACAAATTATTCCATACATGAGGAGGAAGACCCACTGAACCTTCATCGGCAGTGAATTCTAAAACTCCTGAATGGGTGGTTCCCGTTTTCTCTTCGTCAGTAAATTGAATGCCTGAAGATCCGTCCTTGTGAGTTAACGATAATTGAAAGTACATTGGTCCCTTATCAAGAGCTCCATGATCAGACAAGTCAGTAAAACAAGAAGGAGGCAATTTGATCTTATCTCCACTACCTTGATAAGGGACAGCTTCTAGTAAACGATAAAATACAATTCCCCTCCCAGCAAGTAGGTTTTCTTGCATCTCTTGGTCAGCCTGATTGAGCAAAGTAAATGAAGGAATCATGCATTTAGTATTGTCACATTAAAAACCTAGGCATAAGAGTAAGTGATAGCATCCATAGAAATCAATGTATGATAAACTGAAATTCATACTTGTAGATTGGAAATTTCATCTTTATCACCTCTGGGTAAGGATTAACAAATACAATTAATTATACATTTCAAATTTCAATATCATCAGAGGTAAAATAATGAAAGAAAGAAAAACAATAGACCAGACGGTTGTAATGTTGCAACTGATTGTTTCAATCTTATAGATAAGAAGCCATTCAAGGAACTATACTAGTCAGCATAGTCATTTTGGGTGATGCTCATTTGACACATACACTCATCAACCAACCAGTCAAGAGCTCAATGCTTCATTCGCCACCCTATTATTCAATAAAATTACTTTTTGGCACACGATATGCCTCGTATATAACCATAAAGGGTTATAGTTTGAAGGACTGCATCATATACCTAACAGCTTATACCTTTGTATAATATGGTTTCTTAAAGCTATCTTAAAGTTTGACAATCATGCCACCATACATATTCAGAAGCTTCTCTCAAGTTGGGGACATAGAGCAGTATGGGTAATATCAAATTGTCCTTAATTAGAATAGAACAATAATAAATGTCTTGAGTAATAACTTACACTCCTCGGTACACAGCATATTTTATCAAACATATTTCACGCAAAACTTAAAGTCTTGAACACAGAAATATACATCTTCCATTATCAAAACCTAATCCCTAATTTCATCTCTCAGATTATCCAATCATAGTAACCTATTTCAATTTTGAATTAAAAGTTATAACAAACATAATTCACAGAGAAATCAATCTATTGATAACATAAATATTCGAGATCAATTCGAAGATCCAATGACAATCGCATTCGAAGAAAAGCGAAAAAGCGAAAACTAGGGATTAGGTTATACCTTGAGTTGAGCTTCAGCGGCATCAATACGACGAGATCGTTGAGCAGCTTCAATGGCTTCCCTTTGAATCCGAGCATCCTCTTTGGCTTTCTTTTCCTTCAGAACTCTCAATCTCGCTTTCTCCTTTCTTTCCTTCTGCTCTTTCTCTATCTTCTCTCTCGCTCTTCGCAGTTCAAAATCCATTTTTTTTGTGTTTCGTGTTGTGATGAGTTCGTGTTGGTTACGAAAATGAAAAAGTTTGTGATTTGTGATTTGTGATTGTTGATTAAGCACTTCATTAAGTATTAAATGTTGGATAGAGTGTTTTGGTTTGATTTGTTGTGTGATGTCCTTTGTTGGTGTGGGTTGGTTGCTTCTAGAAAGATTTGGGGCTTTCTTTGTGGGTCCTACGAACCCAATGGGTTTCCACGAAAGCCCACTATTTCTTTCTAAGTATTTAACTAGTCACCCATAAGTTAAATCTGACATCCTTTAAAGTGAAGGAAACGATTATAATATTTTTGCTCTAACATTCCACCATTTTCAAAATTCGTTCAAATGAACTGAGAATTTTGAAATCTCTTAGGCGATATCGGAAATTTCAAATTGATATCGAAAATTCTTCAAAAAAGTATCATATCGGGAGAGTGGAAATTGTCGGGAATTTTTCTCGAAATTACAAATTTTCGTCAATTTTTATCGAAAATTATGAAAATTATGGTATTTTTTACCAGCAATTTCAAAATTTCTGGGATTTATGTAGTTCATATTACCGAAAAATTCAAAGGCTTTCCAGCTACGGGCTGGACGAGTTGCTCCGACCGATTCTCACAGAAAATTTATGGTTGAGCAGGCATAGGGTCAGTTACGCGCACCATGATGTCGAGCAGCTAGAGTTGTTGTTGAGGAAGCACCTCCACTTGAGGAGGTTTCTGTTGTTGTGGTTGTTGATAAGGAGGATCATGTGTCGGTTGCTTATGAGGAGTTTCTTGTTCCTGAGGAGGTTCTTGTGCAAGATACATATGCGGAGGTGCCTCTCATACCTCTTATTGACGACGATGATACTCACACTGATATAGACGCCAAGACTCATGCGTCTACAAAGGCATGTGTTCACACTGGTGAGCGTTTCATAGACGACCTAGTGACTGATCAATGCTCACAGAGTATGTTGGCCATATCGCATACAGATTAAGTTATTTATTATTGTTCGGTGATGTGTTGAAAGTTTAGTGATGTTTTTTTAAACTTTGTTTCTTACAGGAACGTCTAATGCTGAAAGTCACATCCCACAGTTTGAAGATGAAGAACTTTCCACTAAGTCAGATGCCTGAGCAGGTCAGGGGTATTATTTCTGGTTTTAGTCTCTTGGAGTTTGTTGACTGCTCACTGGCCATGCTCGACACTTCACTTCTGTCTGCTTTTGTTTAACAGTGGCACAAGGAGACATCTTTCTTTCATCTTCCATTTGGGTAGATTCTGGGACTTGAGACTTCACACACAAGAGGTATTAAATTGTGTGGTTTGGAAAAACATAGTTTTGAAAAACTTTTCGAGATTAAATCAGAGTTTGAAAATATTTTCCTATATCTAAGCAGCAGAAAATAAATATTAAATAAAATGAAAATTTTAAATTGTTTAAGGGAAGCTCACGAATAACTGATCTTGAGAGTTTCCATTATATACTTGAGAGCTTTTAGTAGGTGAAGCTCACGAACCCCCCTTATACAAGGAAATGGTGGTTGCCCTACAACCAAAATATTACATGATGGGAGATATGATCATTTGTGTCTTCTCCATTGAAATTGTTCAGGCTGAAGTGGCCAAGCTTCCTTCCCAACTATGGATTGAAGTGATTAATCTTATCTCAACAAAATAACTGAGCTCAATTTGGCTTAACAGGATAACCAATAATCTCTTGAAATTTTAACAGGTTGGTCTTCTAACCAATGATTTTAAACGGGCTAACCATATGGTAAGTTTATCAATATTGATAAACTTGAACCTTCAAACAAGGCTTACTAAGAGCCTAAGAGAATTTCATCAATATTAACGATCTTCAACCTAAATAAACATAGGAAATTATCACTCTATCCACAACCAAAGCCTTTAACGGGTTTAGCTTTTAACCACCTATTTTTTTATCCCTAAATGGAATGTGTTCATCCAAGATGCATAAACAACATTCTTGGAGAACTTATACAATGCTACCCATCCAGAATTACAAGAACACCTCACTCACAAAATATATTTCCTCACAAAAGCATTTGACTATTTAGAAAATAGTGAGAGAAAGTGAAAAAGAAAATTTAGAGAGAGTGTGTGTCAATACATAATTCATTTTCCGGATGAAATAAAATGAGGAATGAGACCTTTATTTATAGGCTTGAAAATCCCCAGAAATTGCATTAAAACCAAAATGACTGTTGTTAATCAATTGAGTCAATCGATTAACTCATTTAAATGTAACGACTATGATTTCCAAAATAGGAAAAAGTGATATATATATATATATATATATATATATATATATATATATATATATATATATATATATATATATATATATATATATATATTCCTTACTAATCATTTGAGTGATTCAAATTTCCTTATTCCTCAAAAACGCGTTAATCTAATCGATTGACACTTTGTTCTAATCGATCATATTCAGTCAAAAATATTTTCTGGCTTTTTGAATGCTCTCATCACTTTCTATGCAACTTCTATATATACTTCTCAAGGATTATTCTTTTCAAAACATTTTATAAAAAAAAATTAAGTGTGTGTGTGTGTGCGCGCTTATAGCCATATACTTCTACAAAGAAAGAACTTTTGCTTTTACAAAAGTTTCACTCTCTTACTAAATTGGGAGGTTAACTTCACTAAGCCTTGTCTGATATATTCTTTTGTGTTGACACTTGCATTGAGATTTATTTTGATGTAATCTATTTGTTTGCCTTTGTCTGAAACTTTGTAGATGTCTGAAGCTTTATCTATGTCTGAAACTTTGTCAAACCTTATCAAATCGATATCTTGCATCTTTTAACTACTTTAAGTACATTTGTTGACTTTCTTAATGATTTTATCTTTAGTATGTTAAATGTTATTATGCTCTTTTACATATGTCATCATGTTGCATCTTTTATCATGTTGAGTATAAGTTTTGTTCTTCACAATTGTCATCATAAAAAAAAGACTTGTTACCTGCAAAACAAGGTTCCACAAAGATGACTATCATTTTGGAAGATATCTCATCCATGTTTCATCTCTCACTGTCGATAGATTCTTTACTGCTCTTGTCATTAACCATACGATAACATTGTTACAGGGTATAGAGGATTTGCAAGTCACCAGGGCATTCGTGCTAGCAGAGTTTGATTTTAAAAGGGGAGCTAACCTTTGGATGTCTTGGCTTCGGTAAAAGTACCAGAAGCTTATTGAGGCACGTAGGTATGAGGTTGTCACTAGGGAATACATGCTACGTTTAATGGCATGTACTCTCTTTCAGGATAAGTCTCATGTTTATATTGATTCTCGATACTTGTGGTTGTTCAGTAGCCTAGAGAGTGGTAGTTAGGCTTAGGGCTTAGTTTTGTTAACCATGGTGTATAAGACATTTGGAGTTGCAGCTATCTTTAAGACTAGACAGCTTGCTGGTTATTTGAGTCTATTCCATGTATACAGGCATTTCTTAATTATTTGTGCTTAATTTTTCTTATTTAATTTTTATTTGTGACATTAATTAATTTTTATTTCTCCAGTATTTGATATACGAGCATTTCCCCAACATCTGTAATAGGAGGGTGCAACATGCCCCAATAGATGCCCCACGAGCGAGGAAATGGAAGGTCTGGAAAACGCATCCAAGTGGTTTTGTGGAGTACATAAGGAGTTTTGATGCATTGAAAGTAGAAGATGTCATATGGACACCATACAAAGCTCATGGGGCCCATCGTGAGTTTGACGAGTCTTCTTTATATTCAGTTCATATGAGGTGGGTGACCTTAGTGGCTACACACTTTCCTAAGAGGTGTTTGTGACAGTATGGTTATGTCTAGGGCATCCCACGGCCAGTTTCGGATGCTCTAGCAGAGGGTATTGACAGATGGTTTCAGAGCTACATCATCAGCTCTGCCATTTCCATTAAGGCTAATGCAATGAGGGTTCATCACCCTGCGTGATGTATAGATGGTTACTTAGAGTGGTATCTGTAGCGGTAAAAATGTTGAGATTAAGGCATTGGATTGACTTAACTCGCACAGATCAAAATAAAAATCACCACCGCATTTTATTGTATCTAGAGGAATGGGAAAAGAGCGAATAACCCAAAAAGAGGGGGAGAGAATCTAAGTTCGGGGGTTGGTTATGCAAAGGGAAGGTATTAACACCCTAAACATATATGGTACTTCGTAGAAACCTCGTTGTAAATTTGTGTATTTTGGCTATAAAAAAGTTGTATACAAAAAAGTAGATTGTGGAGATGAGAAAAGAAATATTTTTTACAAATTTTTACACCTGCCGCAGTTGCGAACCTTTAGTGCCTACATACCACCTTTCGTGCAATAGGGGATCGGGGTACTCGTAGCTCTCCTTTAAAAATTTAAAAACACAAGCGTTTTGGTTAATTTTAAGAGACGAGACATCATCGTCTTATCCGAGTGGAAGAACATACTTACTACCCACGATTATGAGAAAAGAGAATTTGCATCATCTCAGAGTGAAGGATATGGCCTGGATTTTAAAATCAACAAAGCCTCGGTCAACACCCAAGTGGAAAATATCTCATTTCACTATGTGATACAGTGGCCAGAACTGACTGTTTTTTGGAATGCTGGTTCGCATTTTGCGTTTGTTTTCACAAAATGTCGCGGTAAGCAAGAGTCGCCACCGACTTTTATTTTATCCAACAAGGAAAGGAAAAAAGCACAGAAAAATTCCTTTTTCGAGATATTTCTGAGTACGGGGGGTAGATTATAGAAAGGGAAGGTATTATCACCCTTTCTATCCGTAGTTATCTACAGGCTCTTAGATACTTGCTCATCATTTTCAAAATTGTTTTCTTTGTGCTTGTGGGTTTTGAAAAGTTTTTGTTTTAACTTCGATTTAACTCTTGCTTCTGTCTTCAAGAGTGTAATGAAGTGTTTTTGAAAACTTGTTTGTAAAATAGTGTAAGTGTGAGAAAAAGTTTGTTTTTGGATGAG